CTGCGATTGAAGAAGCCATCCATAAATCAATAGCCAATTATTTAAAATGTGAAGCAAAGTGAACTATACTTACTTAGTTTTACTTGAAATCTTAAAAAGGTAAGGCAAGGAGAATAAAATCCTAAAAAGGAACTGATTTTTCTATTTGTTGTTTGTGGAAACAGTAATGGATTCGTTGAAAGAACTTTTGGAATCGTGGAATATACCACAAGTTGTAGTGACCAATTTTATTGGTGAGTGATTTGATGTTATTATGTATTAATTGTGTAAGTATTACATTTTTATGCGCATGATGATATTTTGTACATAACCTTGAATGTAAGCGTAAAATGGAGGGATTTATTTATTTGTTTCTCTCGTGAGTTTGGGTGCAGTTTGTGGTTGTCTATTTGTGTGTTCATGGCACCCGCGACACAGGGTTTCCCTTGTGCGGGGTATATTCAGTGTATGTGTTATTGAATGTGTGTGTTATTCAGTGTGTGTGTGTGTTATTAAACTAGAAGTAAAATACATAAAAAGATATTTGATTTAATTTGACTTTATTTACAAACTTGACTACTTTTGCAGAGAATGGTATAATGATTGAACATTTTCCCAAATTAAAACTAGACAATTTGAAAGAATTATGCCCACATATGGGGACTAGACTATCTTTAGAGGAAAAGATAGGGGAGCTTATTACTGCACAGGTGAGGGACCTGTATGTTTAAGTTAAAAAATTTAGTTGAAAGTGCTTTCATACTGACTATCTTAACATAGCTTGACTATAAAATACACAATATATTCTATTTTTTTAACTTTACAGGCAACGACGGATGCAGTATCTGAATCAACTGATGATCAAGTCATTATTACTCCCACCTCCAGTAAATTTGAGACAAGCACCAGTGATTGTTTATTTTTATTAGTTTTTTACCAGTTTATTAGTTTCATTAGATGAACTACAAGTGGTCGACATCTTGGAAACAACCAAAAGTGTATCTAGAAAAAACATTTCCACATTTTGATTTGGAGACACTACTGCATACGTCAGCAGGTGGCAATAGTATTTTAAAATACTATGAAACATATGGTTTTCTCAATAATACCAAGAGAAACCAGTTGACCGATATAATTACACATACATTGTCAATTAGTAAGTATATACTGTATATATTAGTAAGTATATACTGTGTTCTGATTACTTTTACACTTCCCAATAATACTTCATCATTTTTTTAGCCGGATAACCTATGAAGAATATAATATTATATCTGCGAAAATAATATCACTGTTTCCAAAGGAGTCAATAGGCACTTATTTTACCAAACCTATAAAAAAAAATAATTCATTTAATGGACGTTCTACAGTAGCATGAGGAAAATTGGTGGGCAAAGTCCGTAACCTTCTGTATAAATATGGAGACCACACACAAGCGACAATCTGGCACTCTAGAAAATGCTCCACCGTTTAAAAGACAGTATATTCAAGGTTTACAAGGTAATTTTTTTTTAAATAGGCTTGCAATTAAACCCACTGACTTTCACTGGGTTAAAGCAATTTATGAACCTATTTAGGTATTTGAGAGTAGGTATTCTAAGTCGCATCATTCTGGGTTTTTAATACAGGTAAATGTAACTGTAAATCCACTGTAAGTGGGCCCCATTTACAGTGGTCCAAAAATTTTTCTACATAGAGGAGTAACAACCCATTTAAAATAAACATTAGTTTAGCAAAAATCAATAGCTTAAGTTATGATTTTTTTATGTACTTTCTTGAAAATTTTCTACTCTAGTCAAAAGTTTAAAACTAGTCTATTTTGAAAATTATTCCACTAAATTAATTGAAATTTGGTATTGAAGTAGTAGTAACCATGTAGCTAGCATGCAATGAACCATTTTTGTGTTTGTTCTTAGATTGCTCCGTTATTTTTTAGACAATTCATGTTCATGAGTTTCTACAATTTTAACTCTCTAATGGTCATAATGTACACAAAAAGAAAATGTTTAAAAACATATAGAGAACTTCTGATAAATAGATAGGTTTGAGAATAATTTCATGTAAATCTGAGCTGAACCAATGTTTTCTTTTGAGAAATTAAGTTTAAATTGTTTGAATAACGATTATGATACTGGTGGTGGTTTTAATGACTAGAATAGAAAATATTGAAAAAGTATGGATGGCAACGTATCAAGTTACACATTGACGTATCTTGTTCCGTTGCACTGGAGGCGATTTTCAAATAAAAATGTGTGGTCTGATGTGCTATTGACTGTAAATAAATAATCATGAATTCTAAACTATTGAATTTTGCTGAACTAATGTTTATTTTCAATAGGTTGTTTTGTTAATATATCCTCTATCTAAAAAAATCTATAATATTATTATTATTAGATAGGAACAGGTACTTACGTGGGATAGGCATTTGTCAGGTGATTGGAATGCAGGTAAATAATGGAAGTCTTACAAAACATTTCAATAAGGATAAAATGAAACACTAACATGATTTTTTTTAGATTTACATTTGAGAGATATACTGTTTCTCAACAATAACACCGAACCATGGGGTGAAGTAATACAAAAATGTAAAGATACGTTTAAAGTTCGAAAAGAAAGTGAACACAAGAGCGTTCATGAGTTTCTACAAGACTGGAAAATATTATCAAACCAAAGAAGTGACATATTGGTATGTAATCTGTTTTCATATGTTTTAAGTTTCATTTCTGAGCTAGGGTCCCTCCATCTTGACGCAGACCAATCATTTTGACAACTATGATATTTGTTTTCAGATAAACATTGACTTCGACTTGTTGTATCCAGAAAAAGGGCTGAATTTTTATTTAAATTGGAAAATATTTTTCGAAAAAATTATTGCTTTTAAACCGAACAGAGACGAAAGAATCTTGAACCTTATTGAGTCACTGAAAAATTTAGACAATGATTGTAAGTGTTCGTTTTTAATTTTATAAAGCTTGAAATAGAATTAGTAAAATAAATAATAAGAAAATGTTTATTTCAGTAATGCAATTAACTTTACATTAACAGTGGATGGTACCTCCTATTAAGCTTGTCAAGCGTCAGTGTCAGTAGGTACCGCTCTTCCATAGCTATAAATTCACATTTAACATTTTTAACATAGTCTGTCTGTCCGTCAGTCCGTCTGTCCGTCGGTCCGTCCATGTGTCAGTGTGTGCGTGTGTGTCCGTGCGTGCGTGCGTTCGTCTGTCCGTCCGTCCGATCGATTGGATCGATTGGGCCGATCGATTGAATTGTCTGTTTGCAAATGTTGTATTTACTTGAGGTACTTTTACCACAATGTCTTTCCTTCTTCTCTTCGAAATATTTAGATCTAATTTAGAGGCCTACGTTGTCTGATTAAAGTTTGAGTGGTATAGAGTTTCGCTACAGTGGCTAAATTTGATAGATCAAATTGTATAATATAATTTTCAATTGTTACAGTAACACTTCCTGCTGAGCTTAAAATACTCGCACATCTGGTGCCTCCAAAGGGAAGAATTTCAAAAAAAATTAAGTTCACTACTCAGGAAGCAATTGACTCCTTATATATTTGTGTGCCGGTATGTTTTTTTTTAATAGCCCCGCCCTAGGGAAACCCTGTGTCGCGGGTGCCATGGATATACACATAAACAATCACAAATTACACTCAAACTCACGAGATAAATAAATTTAGGCCATACAAATATTTCTCCCAACCCGGGAATCGAACCTGGGACCTCTGCGTTGGCAGTTCGGCATGCTAACCGTTTGGCCACGGAGGAAGTTATATATGTCGACTCATCCGAAGTCCGATATGATTATATAACGAAAAGAGAATAAGAACGTTACGAGAATAATTTCGTTATTCAAACTAAGGCCTGTGTAAAGGCGTTTTGACAATTTATATATCTTATTTCGTTTCGAAAATATAAAATCCAACAACAGTCGGTCTGACATTTACAGCGAAGAAGAACAAACGAAATGTACTATGTCCTGAGAACAAGTAGTCTTGCACATATAGATCTTTGTTCTACGGATGAGTAGGTATATATATATATATATAAAACTGCCTCCTGTATATAATATAATGTATTTTTTGTTTTCAATATTTATGCCTCATTTATAATATTACTTTGTGGTAAAGATTGGCTCACAAATCTGTTGTGGATACTTATTATATTTCATTATGTACTCTTAATACTATCTTAATTTCTAGAATGCTGGCGATATAGACCAAGTAATCAAAGAACAAAAACAAAAGGCGACAAGCAAGAAATTGTCTGTTCAACCCTATGTTATACTCCAGGGATTAGATATGTTATACTCCAGGGATAGTGTGATTGTTTAAATTATTTAGAAGGGTTGTTGCAGTGCAAATTTATATAAAATAAGTAAGTTACGTAAACAAGCCCTAAGGTTTATTGAATTATGGTTTGTCACACATATATGCATATATGTAGGGACACGAATTTTATTTCTGTGAGTTGTAATTTAATTTTCTATGTTAAAGTTTTTCATGTCAATAATTCATTTTGTATTTTACTAATATTATGCCAGTATTGTATACGTGTACAAAAAATAAACGTTTTTTAATTTATTTCCTAAATAAGTATAATCTTTTTATTATTTAAGTCGTTTTGTGTCAAGTATTTTAAGCCTGCAATTTTATTTTGTTTAAATTTGTGAACAATTCTCAAAAAAATACAACCGTTTTCAAGAAGCAATAATTATAATTTGATAAAGTCGGAACGTCATAACAGCAACGCCAACGACTTCATTAAAATTAATTGTTGCGTTTTGAAGGCGGTTATATATTTTTTTAATTATTCACAAACTATGCCCTTAGGCTCAATTTATATAGCAGCGGAACGGAATGGAAGCGAATTTTTGTAACGTTATTGTACATAGCACAATGAATTTTATGGTCAATTGTGTAACGTACATGCTCGAGAATGCTCGAGCATTCCGCGGAAGATTTTGGCTCGTATCTAGTTTGTACCGTTACACAATCGACCATAATGTTCATTATGTTATGTATAATATCGTTACAAAAATTCGCTTCCATTCCGTTCCGCCGCAATATAAATTGAGCCTTATTTTAAACAAACAAAATGACTTAAATCAAAAATACCCCACATTTTAACCCAAGACGGTAAAATCTTACATTAAGATTTACCCCACATTTTAACCCAAGACGGTAAAATCTTACATTAAGATTGTAATGGACTTATTAATAGCAGAAAGTTGCTTTGATATAACTGAACCAAAAGTCATAATTTAAGAAATTTGGTTTCAGAATGAAATCAAACTTCTCTTAAACATAGAAAACATAAATCTCCAGTTAAATAATTATCTCTCAATTTTCATTCTTTTTTTTTCAATTCAAAATCAGAAATTTCTAATAACAAATAAATATTTTCTTGAATCTAGAGTAGCTTTATGACTTAAATAAATTAATTTGCTCTTGGATTAAATATTTCTGTCTTAGAACTAAAATACACTTTTGAGACGTTTTTTTTACTATTATCAAGTAATTATTCTCTAGCGTCTATAGGGAGCGAATCGTTTTCTTGGATTTAATAAAATTGTCTTCATACAAAGAAATTTGTCTATTTTTAAGTAATCTGTTTTTACCGTGTAACGACGATAAAATTGAGGCAATTCTCAAGTACCCTTTATCGAAGACAGTAACCGAAATCAGCAGCTTTTTAGGGCTAATAAGTTATTATAGGAAATTTATTAAGAACCTAGCTAAAATCACGCGACCTGTGGCATCGTGTTTAAAAAAGGGAAACAAAATCATTATAGACAATCAATATAGAGAGTGTTTCGAGACGTGTAAAAAGATTTTAACGAATGCACCAGTTTTACAGTTTCCCGATTTTAAAAACCTTTCATAGTGACCACTGACGCTGCTAATTTTGCGATAGAAGCAGTATTGTCACAAGGAGCAATAGGATCCGACACACCTATTGCGTATGCTGGTAAGACTTTAAGTGACACAGAAAATCGATATAGCATTATAGAAAAGGAACTTTTGGCAGTAGCATGGGCCGTCAAGTATTTTAGACCCTACTTGTAAGGAAATAAGTTCACAATCTATACAGATTATCTACCATTAGTATGGCTACATTGCTTGAAAGCACGAACTGAAAGGTGTTCAGTGAGACGGCCCCCTACTAGATGCACGGATGACCTGGTAGGGCGGCGGGTAACCGCTGGATGCACGTCGCGTCCGATCGGCTGGTCCGGGGCCTGTTTCACGAACCTAAAATTTTACTAGTTCACTAGCTACTTGTTACCAGTACTAATATTACAAGTACTAGTTATTTTCATTTCACATATAAAAATATATTTGTAGCTAGTAGTAGAGTAGAGAGAGTAGAGTCGTATTCTAGAACTCTACTCAATGCTCAAGTCAGGATTTGAGTATGGTTTAAAGCACTCGAAATCATACTCAAGTCCCTGCCATTAGGGTCGTATTTCCGGTGCTTGTGTTTCCAGTGCAATCCTGACTTGAGCATCGAGTAGAGTTCAAGAATACGACTCATAGCCTGCTAAATGACTCAGCATTGACTCGAACCTTAATGGTTTTTAAATGTTGTAAAATTGTGATTGTAATATACCTAAGTAGTTGATTGGAAAAAAAATAAAAAAAAAAAAAAAAAAAAAAAAATAATACTAGTTTAAATTGGTTGCGTATTATTACAACTTATTTCTATAGCTCATACGTCAGCAGTTAAAAAAATGGCCAAAATAACTTGCCTGTTCAAATAAGTAAATAATTAAATAAGTATGTAAAAAATTATATGTATATAAAATATATTATGTAAAAAAAATATATGTTAAAATAAGTAAATATAATAGCATTATAATAATATACGAAAATAAAACAAATCTTTAAATTGTTGTTTCGAGTGCCATAAAGACTTAGATTATAATTAGAAATATTTCAAGTCATCTCTGTATTCATTATTAAGTCTGACTAATCAAGGCCAATGAAATTTTGAGAATCGGAAATGTTGTGGAGAACATTGTTATGTTATAATAATTAATTACAGTTAATGTACTCAATAACTACTCCGTTAAAGTAAATTAATATTTCTGACCAAGAACTGAAGAAGTATGGTTTACTTACGGTTATAAATTCTGATTGAATGATTACGGGGTGCGCTTATGCTCTTCGGCGGCACAGCGGTTAGTACTACGGGCGCTTGATGAGGAGGTCCCGGGTTCGATTTCCGAATTTAAGAAACGAACATTTCTAAATTGGTTCTGTTCTGGGTATTCTGCGTATTGCGCTCAGAGTTGTCGTTATTCTTGTATTCATAACACAAGAAATTCCCTAATTTGAGACCTGGAATTTGGTGTGATTGTCTGGCATTCACTACGTCCTGAACAGCACGACATACGCTAGCTTTAGAAACCCCATGCATATCGCCTACTGCATGGTAATGTACTCCAGTCCATCCAATGCAATGCAACTTGTATAATTGTTTTGGCCGATAATGATTAGCTTCTATCGGTTATTCGCTGTATTTCAGGTCCGATCGCAGCCAAGCGAGCTTCCAGTTTCTCGCTTGTCAAACGAATACTTTCGTTAAATTGATAAGTACTTTGTAACTTTTCATATGAATTTCGAGGTAGAAATACTCGACGACGTCGCGCTATTACAGTTTCTTCCTCACTGTCCGAACACGACGACATCTTTTTCTAAATGACACCACTGATAAAATTTTCTTACAAGTTTACAATACGCCTTCGACTGGTAGAAACAGGACCTTTGTAATATATGAGTATATTGGACTAGTAGTGTTTTTCATGAAAGAGGACATAGTTTACAATGGTAATTATGGATTAGTAACTATTACCCTGCAATTAGTAACTAATAATTTACCATCACAGGTTCGTGAAACGCACACTAGTAGAATAGTATGAAATAACAGTCCATGGACTAGTAATACTAGACTGGTAAGTTTCGTGAAATAGGGCCCTGGAAATCTTTGGGGGAGGCCTATGTTCAGCAGTGGACGTCTTCCGGCTGATATGATGATGATGAACCACTGCATTGAATGCCAACTGTGGCATGAACAAACACGGTTACAACCTCAAGCTAAATGAGGGCAGATTTCAGAATCTGTCACAAAGTAGATGAGAGATCATTGCGTCTCATACTGTTGTCCCATTAGATCGTGACAACAATTAGTTTGTAGTTTGCACGACAGAATCTGTCGTCACATTTGAAACGTGACGTTTTATTTACGACTGTCGGACGATTCTAGCTTTTCCCAATCTCACGACGACAGTCCGTCGTCGTAATGTCAAAAAAGTCGTAAACGACAGCTAATGATGTTGTATTATAATTGAACAACTTCATTTAAATATACAAGACACGACACTTTAACCTGCACAAGTAATTTAAATATACAAGACACGACACTTTAAACTGCACGACTATCTGTCGTCACGACATCATGGGAACGCGCTCTTAATCGAGTAGGTTTATACAAATATATTTTGTTTTACTGAACAAACCAACGTTTCGGGCCCTTTACAGGTCCCATGGTCACGGGTGACTGAGATGGTAACGCCATCAACCAGTTATGTCTAATATTAAAAAGCAAACCACCCTATTTTTCAATATTGTTACAAAAATTATTAATTAAACACCCTAAATTCATTCCATGCGTGCAAGCATTAAGAGAGAGCAGAGGAAAAATTCCTAATCTTCGATTTGATTCTAGAGGGGTATATCCACTTTAAAGTTAAAAATAAAATATTGTATGAGTAACTACACGATATATTCAAGCATAGACATTAATTAGAAACATAAAACAATAAAGTTTCCTCGATAAACAAAAATCACGAAATGACTCTAATTTTCAGATTTTTTCGATTTATCCCCGAAATGCTACAGGTTATTAGGACAAAAATTAGATAATTAATTATATTTATGCATGATCGGCAACTGTCACTGCGGATTTTTTTTAATCCCTTTAGCTTTAGAGTTATTCCGCTAAAACGAATTTGGTACTTTTAATGCGCAAAATTCAACATCTCCTGTCGCATGTCACGCGAACTTCAGGCATATGTTTGTTTCACAAATTTGGGCGGAGCCAACGTCAAAACTTTTTTGGCATGAGAGCTCTTAAAATTCTCCAAAAAACGTTGAATTGTATTTTTTATACAAAGGTCGAACACTCAGAAAATATTCCTTCGATCCGGTCGAATGCGAACCGACGTCTTCCGGCATAACGTGCCAGACTCTATAACAACTAAGCCACGGAACGAACCAGCGGACCTCACAAATTTTTCTATGTGCTTGTGTCTTTGTATTTGGTTTTTCAACGACTTTTTAGCGATTTGATTGTGATGTTTTTTTATGATACCAAGTGAACAGACGAACAAGTCGTGTGTCTGGTGTTAATCGACACGCCTGTCCATAACACTTGCAGTGCCACTCAGAGCTTTAAATCGCAAAGATCTTGGGGCACTGCCTCTACCCCCCGTCACCCTGAGACATAAGTTGACAAGTTCCATGTGCCTGTGATTTCACCAGCACCATTACCCTTCAAAACCGGAACGCGACTCACATTACCGTTTTGCGGCAGATAATAGGTAAGGTGGCAGTACTTCCCTGGACGACCTCTTTGACAAGGATCTTTACTGCTATCAATTCAAAAAACTCTATATAACTGCTATACTCCCAAGACCTCACGCTTTATGTCGCTCTCGCGCACAAGGCGAATGGAATCACCGCCCCGCCGACTCTCTGACATAGTTATTAGTTGAGAGACCAATAGTTGTACCTAACTAGGGACATTTTAAGCAATAAACGTAATAGCGACGCGCGATTGTGAATTAGTTTGTTATTTGACTCGTTAGTAATCGCTAATCCTGTCATTCGAATGTCAAATTAGTAACTTACTAATTTGAATGTTCATTCATTACTAATTAGTAGTACTATTCCATAGAGCATTTCTGCTCGTGATCACTTAGTCCTTTCTGACATAATGGTTAGTACTGTAAATATGATGAGGGCAGGAGTATTTTGGAATGGATATAATGATCGTTCGATTCGTGCACCCGACCGAATGGCATTGGCATGCGGTATTTAATCATTCAGACTCGAGTCGAATTGGATTCGACTTTGGCGAATGATTTGTCCATTCGAATGATTAGTATTAGTAACATTCGAAGTCGCGCATCGCTAAAACGTAATCAGTAGCAAGTCACTGACAAGAGCAAGCATTTCATTTCCGATCCTGAACAAGAACCTGAACTAATACAGTCCACATGTCAAGAACACCGAACATCTTTGATCCTACAAGAGCCGGATCACCGACATTACTAATTGTTTTCAGGGGAATCTGCCTTACAAATGAGTAGTAGAGTTTATTAATAGAGTTTGAATCACCGCTACAGCAAGTGACAGCTATTTACTCTAGTAAATATAAATAATAACTGACGCATTTGTAATGGATGCTATCTGCTTGCATATCGTTACTACAAATGATCTATTAATTAGTGTACTTTCCATTACTAATAGACAAAACCGCAGTACATAATATGCATTATTACAGTCATAATCACGTATTAATATATACAGTTAACTAATAACTTATGTGCATAATGCAAATAAATATAAAAAACTATAATATGTTTGTCCTTACAAGAATTTACCATCTTTCATTTTGGCCACAGTATTTTAAGATCGAGTTTGAAAACTTTGGTTGAATAAATATAACATTAAAACATCTGAACTGAAGAAAATGCTAATATTTCGATACCTCCAATGAACACTGCGCAAAGGTCATTTTCTGTTATTTTTGTAAACAGCCATATTTATTTACTAGTACTATGTTCCCCGAATTTTGTGACAAAAAAAAATAAAGAAACAAAAAACAAAATTCGAAAAGTAAACAAAAAAGGAATATTGTGAAGGAAAATAAAAATTGAACAGTTTAACGGTTATTGGAGATGTTGATTTGTTAAAGACTGTATTGAGGGGACTCGGGACGATGAACCTTACTGACCTGAACATATTCAAACTCTATCCGTTAGACATTTATCGCATCATGTACAACAGAAAACATGGATCCTATATAAATATATATCCTGGAAGGGTGTAGCAATTAAAAAAATTTATTTGTAAATAGATTTAAAATAACCAACATATATGATCTTTCAGAATCTACCCCTCGTCCTACAAATTTCTACTTTCTTCGCTTAACCCTCCTTGTCTCCATGTTATATCTAAATATATTAATGTTTTATCAGTATTTAATATTTATTATGTACCCAGCACGTTTTTGTGGTTTTCATACAGTTTCTTTATCAAATTGCCTCATGTGTTGTCTTTGTTGTATTGTGCAACCAATCATTGCCGTTTGAGTGCACTCCTTTTTTTTTTTTTTTTTTTTTTTTGGTACAATTTGTCAAATACTGTATATCTTTCAATACTGGACACTGGCAGAACTGTCCTTAGTTGGACAGAAGCCAAAACCTACAAAAATTACAATGCACATTTTTCGAGTCCTCAGTACAGGTGCATGGCTGTTGAATATGATGCAAGATAATCCAGAAGAAAACAACCCAATAAAGAATGACACAATCCACAACACTGTGAGATCAACCGAGGAGGAACTTAATATGGTTTAGAAAAACAAAACACATCATATGTGAGGCTTAAATTGGTTAACCAATCATGGAATCAGTATCAGATAGTCGCATTGACGCAAAAGTTTTTGTCATTTAAAATAAACAGGAAGTCTGTTATGAATTCCATTGGTGTTTCAATTTTCATTCAAATTCGACATTCAAAAACTCATTATAATATCTTTAGGTCTTCCTGACGTACTTGGTTGAGTATTTAGAGATGTCAAATTTATTTCTAGTTACCAATAACACTAAAAAGATAACTTTATTAACAGATAAGGATGTCATTGTGCTTTCACTATGAATTTTTAAAATTTTGTTTACGCACTTGCTATGCCGTAAAGTAGGTCAAATGATAGTGCAAATATTTGTCTAAATTGTTAGTCTCCAGAGACATGTGGCTACAGAGCAAAGGTCTTGAGCATACAAAAACCCTGATAGCTATCAGCAGCTGCCTGCAGTGCCAAACATTGTAGAGAACTTTTATCAACGGACAGGAATAGCGTCAGAATGCTAACTGGAGGCTGAACAGGGCATTATGGCTTGAACACGCACATGTCAAATATTGGGCAGAGAGAAAATATAGAATTAGATTCTGCTGCAAGGCAGATGGAACTTCTGTGTATCTCGTCACCTAGTGTTGCCCTCTGGTGCGCATACAAAGTTCCATACTGAGAAGGGACTGGTCGTAACCAGAGGACATAAAAACTGTCAGAGCCAGGGAAGTCCTTCAGCTCTTTAATGCTGTTGGCCTTGGCTCCAAACAGTAAATGAATGCTGATTGCAGTAATTGTAGCGTTGCACTCTGATTAGGCTCTCACCAGGCAGTTTGCTTTGAATTAACAAATGCTTACTCAGAAGTGAAAGCAGAGAGATTCTGCCATTTAGTGCATAAGGTGCCTATATTATTCCTGAGAACTAAAAGAACTTATGATTTTTTAATTCCGTTGATTTTAGCCCACCTATCTCAATAGGTTAAAGGGCTGCACAACAAAAATAATAAGTTGTTCAATAAACTAAATGAAAAGGTAAAATTGTTAGTCCCTATGGTCTAAACAATTTGTTTTAGAAAATGTGATCCATTACAAATGTTTTGAAGGCTTTTTGCACTTTGTATTTGGTTTACTTAATTACAGCTCAAAGGCCAAAAAGAAAAGCTTCCATAGTGTAGAGCCCTCTTCTGGAATATGATTACTATTTACAATAATTTGTGTTTATAAACACCTTAATATCTTTGTCAGCTTGTTGCATATTTATGAGTGTTGGAGGGTAGATATTAGGAATAGGTAGACCGATGTATATAGAAGAATAATTTTTTTTAGGCTAACCAATAGGCACCATGTTATATGGAGCCTTTGCCCAATTCATATTCTTTTTTTTAAGATGTCAGGCTGCGAGATGATGAGTCGTGCGCCTGGTTAATTACGTCTCCTCACGACAGGTGCAGTGTCACTCAGAACTTTAAATTGCTAAGATCTGAGAGACACTGCACTGCGCCCGTCAACGTTAGAGTCGTTTAGTCTATTTGTCTGTACTTTCATCAGCCTTAAACCAGACCCCTTCAAAACCGGAACGCAGTAATGATCGCATTACTGTATAACAGAAGGTATGGTGGCAGTACTTCCCTGGACAAACTTTCATAAGGTGCTCTACATTTACATTATAGATTCACACGCATAAATACTGCATCTCTATTTTTATAAATAAAAAGGAATATATATTTACTAATGCAGAGAGAAAAATCGGAAAGTAGGCTAAAAAACGAGGTCAAATAAGTTTTTTTATGGAGAATGGTAATAATCACCGTTACTCTGTTCTCAATATAATTTGTAACTAAATAAAACACTGAAAAGGTTTAATAATGAATTTCCTGCAAAAATCTGCACGCGAAATAAGTAAAAATAAAAACTACCGCTCGTGCATTAAAAAAAATCTTCATCAAAAGTTTCCCATTTAACTTAAGGCATTTACAAGAGCTATGCTAACGAAATCTATCTTCGAAATCTCAGCACAAAGAGAAAATAAACTTCTTTCATTGTTAAACAAATTACCATGAATAAAAAATTTAAATACGTGACGAGGTTTCACTAGGAAAAGTAAATAATCACAATTAAAAATAAATCACTTACCAGTAGCAAAAAAATTCTAATAATTTGTAGGAATGATTTTGTGCTCAATTTTTTTCCACAAACAGTTAACCGATTTCACATTGAACTTATAAATTAGAATTTAAACAGATTTGTGAAACGAAGTCAACATCACACACTTCGCCATTTTTAGGGCTAACTACTAAAAAAAATATCCTACTATACTATATTTAAACCATTGGGTAGTATTGCTATTTATGATAATAAAAATCTACTATTCTATTCTTGTATTTTAAGTATATACATTGGGTTTATCTATGCTACGTCATGCAGCTTCCACTCGGTCTCTTATATGTATTTAGTATGCTTATAGTCTTGTACCTTCTTATTCAGTTCAGTTTTTATTGAAAGAAGCACCCGCTAGGGCTCGCCTCTCTCGTCTGTCTTTACAAAAAAAGCAATATAAAACGAAAAAAAAGTTGTTTATTTGAACCTTTTAATAACACAGTCTAAAAAGTGTCTCTTACAAGGTATATCACTTCTAGTTAAATAATAGTTGTATCGACTGCAATAAAACTGCATTAGGATCAAATACCATTTGTATAAATACGCCCTGTGTATATAACAAGAAGTATGGTGTACATGGGTAATATTATTAATAATTATGTTTATTACAAAATTCTGTCTATAAAAACCTCGATTATTATAGTAAAGATATGTACAGTCAATCGAGGATACATAGTTAAAATGCCATTCGATAGAAAATTAGGAGGTTCAGTTGGTGGAGAATCAAACAATTCTCCTTTTCTAAAGCAGTAACGTCTAAATGAAAGACGAGTTGTATTTGTCGACGTCGTGTTCGTATGTGGCAGCGCGTCTTCTGTAAAAGCTTTATAGAAGGCTTGAAAATATGGAATAAAGACCGTATTCCCGAATAGATACCATACATAAGCAAACACAGCTGTAGCCACGAATACTTGACAAAACATGTAGAAGTAATAAGGAAATATAATGGGATCGGGAGTCGTCAACTTCGTAATTTTGCAGATGATCCATTGAATAATGAGCCAGTAAATAAGGCACATATTTCCTCCTGCACATACTGACATAAAGAAATCCCAAACTCTGTGGCATAAAATATAAGGAAAACAACATATTTCGTACCAATCATATTTAAAAATATTGTCGTTAGCCTGCGAGCGGAACCTTTCGAGTTGTACGTTCTCACATGCACCTGTTCCACCTGATTTCTTGCGCGTCATTTTCAATTTTGATGATGTATTTTTCGATTACGTTACAACATAATAATTAGCTTAATAGTAGCCAATCATTAATTCAATTAATGTTCTAAAGGAAATAGCCTCTCGTATTACGAATCTTTCAATGATAGTATCACAACATTTTCGATTACTAAAAATTGATTTCAAACATGAAATAAAAATGACATTTGACTGAAAGAGTATTATTTTAAAGGAGGATTTGATTATAAATCCAAGTGAAGATTTTTTTAAATTCTCTGCTTAGAGCTTAGAAGATGGAAACCATAGTCTAGATGTGTGAATTTAAGCTGTTAAAATATTTCACCTTGTTTCTACCTAAGTTATACTTGAATTTTTACAGTGGCAATGTTCAAACTTACTGTAAAGTGAGAAAAACTATACAACATTGTCTTTGGTTAGTTACTGGTTTGGCCATGTTGGGAGAAGTTACGCGTAAATTCTTAAAAAAATATTGCGTGATTATCACGTAATTACTATGTTACAAATGCTGAAAATTGTTCAAGTGTTGCTGCATTTGCTTTAATTGGTGACAAACGAGTTAAAAATGGCAGGTAATGTGGTGAAGTCTATTTTTTTATTGGTGAAAGTTCCAACTCAAGTTATTAGTTTGTCTTGCATAAAAATTGCATTTTTCTATAATGAGACATATTGCCAACTAACCATTAAGTGTTAGATTACTGAAACTCAATGTAAACTAACATTAATTGTAAACGCACTAAGTCCTAATTGTGATTTTGCCACTAAAAACTGGTTTTTCATGACCTTCGACTTAATTTTGTAATTAAGTTTTTTTACATTGACATTTTCTTGAGCTCTGACTTACGATGCTGTACATCCTTGTTGAAGGTTTATAACACTATTTTGCTTTCTCGTATGTTACCTATACAAGAACACTTTACTATTGATAAATCATTTTGAACAACACCAATGCCGCATGTATCATAAACAATCACATTTTTAATTGACAATCTCATATTGAGAAATTATATCATTAATAAGTTTTAACAATTAAAGAGATTGTCAATTAAAAATGTGATTGTTTATGATACATTGTTATGTATGTGATAATGTGAAATTAATTTATTTTTCACTTCTCATGCTCTTATAGTCCGTATTTATGCTGGGTGTAGGCTGCATAAAATAGGATTTTATGCTCTGCATAAAATAAAATCTTTGTTTAAGACCGAGGCAATAACGTCTCCGCCAACAGCCACGTTCTCTAGAACTTTATTAAATTAAGTTTAATTTTTATTTTTTAATCCTTGTTATATTACAAAATTAAGGTGCTAATTACAAACTGGAACAACAAGAAAATCCGGTAACTTTGGAGGCATCTCAAGTTCATAATAAAATACAAAATAGTACACCGAATATGCCAGGAAAAACTTAAATATGTCTAATTGTTGGAATTTTACACTCAATTTTAATTAAATAATCGTTTATTTGTAATATTGCTGTTTAATTTCCTTGCAATCAAAGTGTATTAAATGTTCATAGAACCCATTTTATTCTCGACTTAAGTATTCGCCCGAGCCACAGCCGAGGATACTCGTCTCGGGTAAAATGATGAGCTTTATGCATTGTTGTACAATCTACTATTAGTTTTTGTTCAAAGTTCAAATCAAATAATCATTTATTCCATAGGTAAAATTTTTGCACTTGAAAATGTCCTTCTTTAAGCTACTGCTCGTTCACTATGCAGACCTCCCTGAGAAGAATGAACAAGAAACTCTATGGATTACTCTTTTCAAATAAACTTAATGCTATGGACTTTGCATCATAATTGTGTGGAATCTAGACTCATGTTGTCTTCAATTTTGTAATATGACTTTTCAATTAAAATACTTTTAATGCAAGTTTTTAACGTCATGAACCAGACCATCTTTGATAATCTGATTCGATTAAGTAAGACAAGGATGTGCAAGTGTGTTAAAACAAATTTATCTAAGTTTATCAATTATTAAGAAACAATTGATTAAAATATTTCTTTTTGTTTCAGAATATCAAATAAAAATGTTTGTCACATTTTTTCTACTAGCGCCAGTAACAATTTCAAACACGGAATACATTCCACCCGGCCCTGCATATCCGTGCCCGAAAGAGACAGAGAATCATCTTCTGTACCCTTGCGTGTGTGAGAAAGGGACGGATAGTGGTTTGTATGTGCGCTGTGAAAACAATGGATTGGCTGTTTTGAGTGTAGGGTTGGGTAATATCGCTGGCATGGGGTTGCCAATTGAAAAATTGGTTTTGAAGGAGTGTAAGATTTGTAAGTTTTTTTCACATTTTGTAAATCTTTAGTAGTAATGCTTCTCGCTAATGGTGAAGGTAACATCGTGATTGTTTATTGAATAACTTATTGTACAAATGAATAAGTAAAGACTAATTATGCGAATAAAAGTAAATTATTCCACATATAACCTGAACTAGGAGAATCCTGTATTTCAGGTAAAAAGTACTAATTATACAGGTGAATATATTATTAAATTATAAACAAACAAAAAATTAAACAATGAAATGCAAATTTGAAATGCAAAAAAAAACATTTATTTTGGGATAATTAATAAATTCTCTGTAGTATATTTTGAAGGAATTCTTGTAGAATTTTCTTAACTTTTATGTAACAAAAATGATATATGGCTAATTTGGCATTTAATTTATTGTACCATTATAAACAAAACAATCTGGAAATAAATACATGTATTGATGATACAATTTTGGGGCAGACAATATCTTTCCGTCTTTTGTTAGTGTTTTCAGTACTAATGGGAGTGCAATATGCTGTTTGAGAACCGTGGAATTAATAAATAATTGCCTTCCAGCATCGAGTATATAACCAGAAATAGAGACGAAATGTCATTTTATTTGTTTGAAAACTATTCTGCCATATCATTACTGTGACAACTGCGCTCCGATTGGCTAGCCCCAATTCGAAACAATTGACGGGTGTCGTCAACTGTTTCACTTCAAATAGACCAGTTAACCTGAGCTTTGCTATAATGGACGAAAATTGCAAAATTACATATTTAATATTTAATTACCGGTGAAATGTGATTCCGTTTGTTTTGTAATTAGATGTTTGCTGTTTTTCCCACACCACCGAATAGAACAGCACGGCATTGTTAGAGATATTATGTTTATTACAATAAATTGAGAATATTTTTTGGAATATACGGAGATGTACACACAGGTCTGTCTATATTTCAGTGCAAACGAGAGTTGTTATTTATAAGAGCTGTATCGCTAATGTGTTACTAGGAATATATGGCCCTTATTTCGTCTCTATTTCTGGTTATATACTCGATGCCTTACAGGTAGTACCTTACACGACTTATACAGAAGGTCAGTGGGGTAAAGGAAAGGGCGGAAGGTAGAAATTTTTAGAACCGCTCACTGGGCTCTCTCAATGATTAGTAATGAAGTTTTAGCAATACCACCCCAAGATGTAATGCAATTTGTAATATTTTAAAATCAGCAAAAGCGCGTAGTTTTTTAAACACATACATTAGGTTACGGATTCGACCACTTAGTGCTTTGATATGGTGCTTAAAAAATTAAACCAGCATGTGGAAGCAGCAGTGCAAAAGGCAAGAGTGGCGAACTGAAACCCAAGCCCTCACATTATCAAAAACTGGTACCCAGCAGTAGATATTATTTTTATTTATACTTTTATTAACAGACAAGTGAGATCAATAAAAAAGTTAGTACAGATTAAAAACAAGGTTAGTACTTATATTCTACCAGGAACTTAGCAACATTTGTTAAATGCCGCAATATTGAGCACTCACTCCTCTCCCAAATGGTCTTCAGGAGTTAGGGCTGACACGTATTCTGTTCAGTGAACGACGACGCCGATTTTTTACGTAGTACAGCCATGAAACTGTCTATGCGCGCATCAGCGAACGTGACTGAGGCTATGCAGAAACGTGACAACTGCCGCGTGACGTGCTCGTCTACAGAGCGCCAGCGTATATACAGTGGTCTGCAGTAAGCTCTAAAGAGCGTAATCTCACTGCAGCAGGACTTTTGGCGAACCTGCGAGCGAGCATGTTTGCTCTCACCGTTAGTGCTCTGCGCTCGCGCTCTATATCCATATCATTCTTGAGGTCATTGGTAACATAGTGTCCAAAGTATTTAAAATGGCTAACCTTGTTAATACAAAAAAAAAAATACAGTACAAAAGATTTTTTTTTTTTTACAAATGAACTTGTGCAGACACATTACAATTTAGTTACGACAAAGAACCAGGTAACACAACTCAATTGTAGCGTATATCGCGTACAGAGAATTTCCTACGATTCCTGCACTAGGCAAAGCCTGTCTCGCAGGTAATCGATAAAAACATTGTTACTGTTTATTATTACTAAAAAGTGTTTTTTTTTTTTTGAAAAATTGTACATATTATTAAACACATTATCAAACAAACATATTAATGGAGATCCGTTAAGTAACACGGAAAGGAAATTTGTAGGACTCTTCCTACCGGCGTCTCCAAAGACCATACCTATACCCGGCCTTTTGATATTACATACAAGAACATGAGAAGCAGACCTGGGCTGTCTTGGAATTCTTATATCGAAGTTATGAGATGCCTGTATGACGCCGCTACCAGGAGTGTCCAACAGTGGCGAGGCGTCCACATAACGCGATTCGAGCTGCATCCGATTCACATACCCTAATAAGATTAGATGATGATGTTGCTATAATTGAATCGTCGCCATGATGCGAAATTGTAAAGAACTAATTAGATCCACTTATAAACGATGACAAATAAGTCATGAAAATGAGTCGAGTGGCTTGAACATCTGTTGTCATGGTGTCGCCGTATTTGAGGTAAATTCGTTGTTGTGTTTTCTTCCAGCCCATCTCTTCGGCCCTCTATTCCATCGTTCAACTATCAGAGTCTTACACATCGAAGACACGCCGATTAAATCTATAGACCAGTATGCGTTTTCTGGAGTCAACAGGACTCTTCAGGAGTTGCGGTTTACCAATACCAGGATTGAGGAGTTTCCTAAGGAAGCTTTTAAGGTATGTTTCGTTGTGGTCAGTAGTCAGGATGGGCCGTGGTAGTCTAATGGTTTGACCTACCGCCTCTCAAATAGAGAGTCTTGGGTTAGAATTGCACAATTTGATATTTACTATGAGCTTTTTGGTGATGGAAAACATCGTTAGGTAATCTGCATAGCGCAGATTGGGTAAAGTTCCCAATGCCAGTGCGTAGGGCCCGCGTGGGAGCGGCAATCCAAGCTCTCTTTATGAGAGGAGGCCTGCGTAAGTGAGGCGGATAACTATTTATTTATTTAGTAGTTAAAATAAAAAAATAAACTATAGTACCGGCACGCTATGATGGCCGTTTTGACGTTTGTTCGCTCATCAAGTTTCATATTAATTCATAATCAGTGTTGCCAGAGTTTTGTGAAGTTATTTCACCAATTTAGGTATATTAAGTAGCCGATATTCGCCCAAGCCATAAAATCAAGAAAAACAATTCTACAATTCTGTTTGCTTAGGGAAATAAGAGAGTTCATATTCCCCAATGTCCGGCAGCAATTCCCCACACATCGAAATACTCAAACCCCCAAAATTTTAAGTAGTCTAAAATCGCCTTTTCCTATTTCAAATAGCCTAAATGTCGCCGACCACTTTTTTAGTCGCCGCGCGACCCCTCAAAGTAGCCGAAAAATCGCCTAATCTGGCAACAGTGTTCATAACATACATTGAAGGAGCTCATTGTTGTAAACAGTGACCTGCAATAAAATTTATGGAATGTATAATTTTACGACGCAACTCGGCATGTGCTTTTCGAAATCGAAATTAAAAAAAAAAATCTATCGTCACTAATGGAATCGCTGGCCAGCACAACTTCTACCTTCGGCAAACTCGCGTCGAAGCTCCATGCAAAACAAAGCATTTTTGTATTGACGTTGCTTCGGTTCATTGAAAATATTTAAAGTAAACATTTTTATTTTCTTTTCATTAAAACTTTTTAATCAGCTACCCCTTGCAATACTAGATAAAAATCGAAAAATTTGATGATGTGACTCGCATTTGATTATATTGTTTTCGAGAATTAATTTGAGATTTCACCTCACTATTGTAACCCCTCACGGCCATCACAGCGTGCCGGTTATTGACTTACAAATAAATGGACGACGGGTCTAATATAAAAACCACGAAAAAAATGTCCCAAGTCAACCTATTTAAACGTAGTGACATGTAAAGGAATATGAAAAAGCTAAAGCGTTGAATTTAAATTGTAATGTCATCGCAGTACTGTCTAATTTTGCTCGCTTCGCTGTCAGTCGAACAAACGAAGACTAAAGCGTGTATGACGCTCTGTATACGATTTTAACGCCCTATAAGTTCGGACACTTTTTAGCGCGGACCCGAGGTCCATATAATTGTAAGTCAATGGTGCCGGTACTATAAATAAGAGTAACAATTACCGATAAGTACGCAAATATACGACGGTGTTCAAATATTGCAGCTTTGCCTCTACTAAATCCGAGTCACCTATAAGCCTCTTTAGTTTAATGCCTTATAGCAAGAAGTCACTAAAATCCCCATCTGTAAGCAAAATTGTTTTCATATAATATTTATTTTATTACAGATTACAGATTTTTGTAACGAGAATAAGTGTTGCCATTTCTCAATTAAGGACTTGGTTAATCGTCAAAAATGTCGGATGATATGTCGACTAACTTCGACCATTCACGGCGAACATGTTTGTTATAATATTCGCATTTACTTTTTTTAGATCCTCGGTAACCTATCGATCCTGTCCATAGACGGGCATCAAATGACGACACTCTCCAAAGATATTTTTGCTGGCAGCGAGGCGGTAGGTAGGCTGGAGAAACTGCATCTTATAAATGGTATGATCGCTGACTTTGCTCCAGAAACCTTTCAGGTAAGTTCATTTCCACCATATTTCTTAGTACTTCACAAAGTTAATAAAGTTACTAGTCTGCCTTTTTTGAAGACTGAGTAAAATTATTGTTTATTGCACAAAAGTGTTGCCCACTTGCGAGCGAGCTAGTGATTGCAGTCGATAAATATTCTATCGACTATCGACCGAATATTGGTCACGTTTATGTAATAAATAGCCGAACTTTTTTCAAATGAATCATCCTCGACCCTTTATTCATCTAATTACTGAGCACAAGTTCATTTGAATTGTCAATTTTTGTAAGATCATACATATATTATATTCACTATATTTAGGAACTATATTTATGAAAAATATGAAGAGGCATATTTTAAAGTTTTTCATTTTAATTCGTAATGGATAATCAAATCCGGCTATTCTTGTTAACAATTTATATGAATAAAAATTGATCTCGATACTTGTAGGCCAACTTTCAAAATAAGAATAAAGAAGGCAATAACGCAATTTGTAATTATTAGAACATCGTAACATTCACAATTCAGTCATTTTTGGCAAAATTTATCTTTCACAATCTGTCGATAAAATTATCGACAACAACTACATAACTACTATTTAAAATTTGATGAAAACTGGGAAACCTACAAATGTAATTTTACTCCGTCTTAAAAAAAGATATACTATATCTTTAAACTGATAACTCGTCGAGACCGGTGTAGGTAGTTGAGGAGTTGCGTAGTCTGCAGACTGGACTGGTTGCATTATCAGATCCAGCGGTTACCATATCAGCCACAATGAGAATTTTAATTAATTTGCGGTGAGAGTACAAACTCAACATCTAGCGACCTTCATGAAGGAGGACGTTTCCGAGGATGGTTACCGGACACCCACGTTGCGTTACACGTCGCAGTCCATACGTGTAAATAAATAAATAGTGTTTTATTATATTGTTATATTATATTGTATGTATGTTAGTCCTTGGGTATTATGTGGGTCATGGGACCTGAATTAACTAAATAAATTAATTAAATTCAACAGTTTATAAATGGGATCAAATTAGACAAGTAGCTCAGACACGGTGCAAACAAAATGTAATCTACCAATTACTTGATTTTTATACTAAGTAATGTTTTTAGTAAAATGGATTTGCCCACGTCGTGGTAGAAGTAGTTGCTTTTTTTAGGATTAAGTCGTGTATATGAAACTTTTAAAGCAAAAATTTAACGTTTCAAGTAACGAAGCGTAATTTTCGGCCCCAGGGATTACGACAACACTGGATTACGCCTGGGCCACACATTTTTTTTTAATAAAAGTGTAAGTGCACATTTCACCTCCATCTCACCTGATGGAAAGTGGCGATGAGGTCGACGATGGAGCATCCACATCTAAATAATGCCTATTCACTCTCGCCTTGAAAATGTCCAAATTATAGCGTTCAGGGAATAAGTCTGCAGGCAGGGAATTCCACTCCACAGCCGTTTGCCATATAAATGTGGAAGCGTAACGCGTCGTGCGAATCTTAAAAATATCGACAACATGGGGGTGGAACATCAATCATCTCAGTTGTGTGCCCATAGTGTGGAAGAGTCTTGACTTGTGTGACATTTCAGTGGCTAGCCATCGAGTCACTATTCAACTGCCATTGCAATTTCATTATGTATGTGAGTTAGTTAGGTAATAGTATACCAAATTTCAAGGCGGTTGGACATCAGGAAAAAGAACTGATGATCTTTAAACAGCTGTTCATCAAACGTCGTTAAGACCCATCCTGAGTGAAATAAATTTCCAATTAAAAACAAAACCGCTTTGGGATCATGCTATCCGTTTGGTAGCTATGATGTCACAGACAAACATACAGATAAAGACTTCAGTCTTATAACTCCCCACTTTTTGAGTCAGGAGTTAAAATCAGGTCAAATTAAAAGTTCACTCGCCGTTGCGTCGTCGGAGCAATAATAGTGATGTGCATAGATTTCGATAACTAATGTTGTTCACTACTACTACTACTTAGTCGATAAAAAAATTGAAAAATATTTTTTTGTAAAGTTTAAGTTCCGGATTTAAATCGCGTATATTTGTTTTTTCAAACAAACCGACGTTTCCGGCCGTTTACAGGTCCCATGGTCACGGTTGACAACCGTGTTTGAAAAAACAAATGTACGCGATTTAAATCCGGAAAAATAGTTTCATTTCCTATGTGTAACAATCGCGAAAACCTAAGAACTCGATAAGTTTAAGTTCATTAGTTAATTTTTTCCTTGGGTTCAGAATCAGGAATATAACGCACTCTATAAGTATGTCCCACTTTTAAATATGCAGCATGTATAACATGTCGTCTTAAAACCCTTTTATTCTAATTTCAGAACTTGAAGAAACTGCGTACCTTAGACCTTCATGGCAACAGGCTAGTTAACTTAAAAAGAAGTCAGTTCAAAGGACTTCGGGATGCCGAATTACTGGACATAAGGTATTTATCACTCCTGCACACATGTTTCCATTGTGAACAGAGTATTAAACCATACACTACTATGAAGATTTAAGTAGGGACTTCACACTATGAACCAACTGAACTAGTGTGTAGGCTGTCTTTTTGTAGACGGAGGAGTAGAACTATAAATAGTTATGTAGTTGTTGTCGACAGTTTTATCGATAGATGGTCAAAGAAGGTAGATTGACTGATTACTAATTGCATGATTGCCTTCTTCATTCTTATTTTCATAGTTTATCTACTACTATCGAAATCAATTTTTAATTATGTACATTTTAACAAGAGCAGGCGGATTCGATTATCTACATTGAATTAAAATGAAAATCTTCAAAATATGTCTCCTCTTTGTATGGTTTCTGAACATAGTTCTAAATAATAAATAAATATAATAAATATTAGACAACATCACATACGTCGCTCTGATTCCATAGTAAGTAGCTAAAGCACTTGTATTATGGTAATAGGAAACAACGACGGTACCACAAACACCCAGACCTGAGACAATATAGAAAAGTCAGTTCCTACACTGACCCGGCCGGGCCAAATGCTGCCTGTTTTGTGTTTAAACTTACAAAAATTGTCAATTTTAATCAACCCGTGCCCAGCAGTTGGACGAATAACGAGCCGATGATGATTTGAACGAAACAAGTTCGGATATTTATCGCATAAGTGTGACCAACGTGCAGTCGATACTCGATAGAATATTTATCGACTGCAATCACTAGCTGCTTGCAAGCAGGCAACACTTTTGCGTAATGAACTGTCATTTTACTCCATTTTCAAAGACAGAGTTTATCATTGATCTATTCTAAAGCGGGGTATTAACCAGTATCCTAACGTCAACCATGACCACGTCCACGTTTTTGTTTGTAGCAATAATGATAACAAACTTGTGGAGTAAACATATCACGATGTAGAATAAAAACAAAATATTGCTATTAATATAGCGACATCTCGTCAGTTTTCTGGTAGCTGTAAAGGTACCTGACTGAGCAACTTACAACTGACAAGCTTACAATTCTGTGTCGCATGTGCCATGAACACACACATAGACAACCACAAATTACACTCAAACTCACAAGATAAATGTAGGCCATACATGTATTTTTCCCGGCCTGCGAGCAGGCAGTGGCAGTCCGACATGGTAACCGCTGGGCCACGTAGGCAGTTTAAACCGAATACTAAGTACCGTAACAAGCACTTAAAGATATTAGTAAGATCTGCTTCGATCCGTGGCAGAACAGTGGCCACGTTGAGGCAACAGTCGATCTTTATCATTAATAATAAATATAAACTAGAGATATCTACAAACCACTTAACATAAGACAATCTGAAACAGACTTTATTTAAATTCGTTGTTTTGTGAAGAAGCTTTTTTAATATACATCTATTTATTTTAGCTACAATAATATAACAAAGTTGGATGGATCACATATTGGAGACCTAACTAAGTTGGGTTGGTGCAATGCTAGCCACAATCAGTTAGCTGACATACCGAGGTAAGAAACAAGCGTGAACTTATAACAATAGTTTTTAAGTACCCTTTTATGACACAAAGTAACGGACTAGTCGTGGGCCTGGTGGTAAGCGACACGCCTGTCCATAACAGTTGTAGTGCCACTTTAAACCGCAAAGATGTGAGAGACACTGTTACCGAATGTCATAAGTCGAAGAGTCCCATGTGCCTGTAATTTCACCAGCACTCGTCGAGTATATAACCAGAAATAGAGACGAAAGAAAGGCAATCGATCCCTGGCAACTCATCAGGCAAATGGGCCTTATATCACTTTAAATATCAATTCTGAACAGCTAAAATCACAAATTAGAAATCTGAAACCAAGTACCAAGTACCAAGTAGTACAGCGCCAACAACTGACTTGTGTGTACGTCTCCGTATATTCCAAAAATATTCTGTATTTATTGTAATAAAGATAATATCTCTAACAATTGGGGGCTGTACCATTCGGTGGTGTGGGAAAAGCAGCAAAGCATCTGATTACAAAACAAACGGAACCACACATTTCATCGGTAATTAAATATGCAATTTTGCAATTTTGTCCATTGAAGCAAAGCTCTAGTTAAACTGGTCGATTGAAGTGAAACAATTGACGACACCCGTCAATTGTTTCGAATTCTGGCTGGCCAATCGGAGCGCAGTGTTCACCGTAATGATTTGGCAGAATAGTTTTCAAACAAATTAAATGACATTTCATCTCTATTTCAGGTTATATACTCGATGCCAGCACTACTACATCTACTAACACTACATTCATTTATTTTCATTTTGTTATTTCCAGAGGTATGTTTGCAAGAAACACGGTGCTTAAAGTATTACATTTGGACAATAATAAAATTAAGAAGTTGGACATTAATAGCTTTAGAGGAATGAGGTTTTTGAGGTAACCCATTTTATACTATTTTCATGCATGCCATATTTATAGTTATGAACGATTTTAAGAAAGGGTCATTTTGGGAGAGAATATTTATTTATAGTCTGTCTTTTTTGAAGACGGAGTAAAATTACTTCGGCGGGGTTGCCAGTTCTCGTGAAATTTTAAATAGTCACGTAGTTGTTGTCGACAGTGTTATCGATAGATTTTGAAAGAAGGTAAAATTTTGCTAAAAATGTCTGAATTGTGAATGTTACGACGTTCTAATGATTACTAATTGCGTTACAGTCTTCTTTATTCTTAAATAAATAGATCAAAACATAAACAGTACATAGACAACTTAGAATTAATTATTAATTCTTATTTTCACAGTTGCCTACCAGTATCGAAGTAAATTTTTATTCATGTACATTTTAGTAAGAACAGGCGGATACGATTATCTATATTGAATTAAGATATGTCTTCTCTTTGTATTTTAGTACACAGTCCTAAATGCAGTGTATGTATGCTTGTGCCTCAACAGTTGGACAAATAATGGTCGATGACGATTCAATAAAATGAGTTCGGCTATTTATTGTACAAGCGTGACCAACATTCGGTCGATGGTCGATAGAATATTTATCGACTACAATCAGCAGCTGCCTGTAAGCGGGCAACACTTTTGCGCAACGAACTGTCATTTTTAGAGATGGGAAAATCTGCTGATTTTTTTAACGTTTAAACGTTGTAGCTTTTATAAAAAATCGTGCTTTTTTTTAAACGTTTTTCCAATACACGCTTTTTAGTTTTAGTAAAACGTTTATTATGTTAAAAAATTGATAGCGAAAAATCAAGAGCAGACCACTAAAGGTTTTAAGTTAAGTAAGTTTGTTTGTAAAACACAGGTTTTATTTTTATTTATAAAATTGCTATTCATGTCGACGAATTAATTTGTTTAGGAAACATAAATGGTGGGATTTGAAAATTAGGCCCGTTGTAAAAAATGAAATTGTTGAGTATAGAACTGACCAACGCTTACCTACGCTTAAAATAAAAAGCGTGCTTAAATGCTTATTTTAAAAAGCGAATTTTCTTGAGTGCTTTTCGTTTAAACGTGCACCTTTAGTTATTTTACTGTACCTTAAAAAAAACAGACTATAGTGTGATTTTGGTAAAAATACTGATTAGGTAACCGTTATTTTAGGAGTGGCATGTTTTAGGAAATGTACTTTAGAAAAGCGTCATTTTAGAACATGCACGTTTAGAAATATGTAATTTGGGAACGGGGTATTTTAGAAAAAATTCATTTCACAAAAGGTTGTCATTTTGGGAAGAAATTTATTTGGAAAAATGATATCCGTCCGTCCATTAGGTGGGGACGGTCTTCCTTTAGAACGTAAAAGAGGCCCGTTCTATAAATATTAGAGGATGTTGCAGCGCTGCTCGTGGACGTGAAATAATACCAAGTTGATAAGAAATATTACTATATTTTCCGTAACTGATCTTATGTTCCTCAACAATGTAGTACAATCACTTTTTGTAAGCCTTTCGGACTCTTCCACACCACTCGACTGAGCACCGCCCGATTCCGCCACTCAACCCTACTTTTTAGTAGCAGGGTGGGATGTGGCGGAAACGGTCGCAGATTGGTTGATGCGAAAATTAAGTAAAAATGAATACTAATTATAAGAGTGAATAACTATTTTACCGATCTACAATCAAACATATTTGGTTACAACACCTTTCCTTCGAATTAAACTGATATTGCAATTTAATAGCGAAAAGTAAAGTGAATAGCGCCATCTATTTGTCACCAATATTCTATACAATACAATGCCATCTAGTGGTCACATACGATACTATTTGTTATGTGCTATTACATTAATAATAATAATCAGTTATTATTAACATATACATACAATAAAACTATTCTACAATTAGATTAGTCCCACGCTGCCTCAATGCAATTACCGTCAACAACTTTAGGTCTGATTTTGGAAATCTTAATACTACGTATTTTGCAGTGTCGGGTATAAACTTTATCCTCCTAAAGCCTCGTATACATTAAAATGTACATAATACTGGAAGTAATTCTAATAGTGTATACTGTATCGCTTTTAAATACAGCGCTATAGATAGTTTATGACTGTAGGGTATCTAGAAAAATTTTTTTTTTTTCTTTTTTTTTATAATACCATGTGGTAAGTCACACGTTTATCCATGACACACGTTGCAGTGCCAATCAGAGCTTTAAATCGCAAAAATCTGAGGGTCACTGCCACTGCGCCCGTCACCCCGAGACATAAGTTGACAAGTCCCACGTGCCTCTAATTTCACCAGCACCCTTACCCTTCAAATCTAGACCGCATTAATGCTCATAAAACTGCTTGGCGGCAGAAATAGGTAAGGTGGCAGTACTTCCTGTGACGAACTCTGTTACAAGGAGCTCTACTGCTGCAAAAGACTTTAAGCGTTAGTTACATTTATTACCTCTCCATGAACATTAACCGAGGGGCTTAGGAGGTTATTTACCAGCGAGTATATAACTAGAAATTGAGACGAAATAAGGGCCATTCTTCCCTGGCAACTCATTAGACAAATGGGCCTTATAACACTTTTAAATATCAACTCTCGTTTGCGCTGAAATCACAACTGAAATATTACAGCGCCAACAACTGACCTGTGTGTACGTCGTACGTGTAAATATTAAATATGTAAGTAATTTTGCAATTTTCGTCCATTGTAGTAAAGTTCAATCGAAACTGGTCGCTTTGAAGTGGAACAATGACGACACCTGTCAATTGTTTCGAATTCTGGCAGAATAGTGTTCAAACAAATTAAATCGTCTCTATTTCTGGTTATATATGTTACGATGTTATTTACAAACATCTTAGGTAAATGAATAAATCTATTTTACAGACGCCTCTACCTGCAAGACAATCAAATCTCTGAAGTTGGTCGAGGCACTTTTGGGTCATTGACACGGATCGGTACAGTTGACCTCGCGAGAAACAGAATCGACAAAGTCGACTTTCAGATGTTCCAGGCAGTTAAATATGCCGAGGTAAGTGTATACTGAATGTGGTTATCAATGGTACGGACTAAAGTGATTCCGGGGTCCTCTCGAAGCACGAGTTACGACCGGTTTTCCGTTATGGATGACCTACGGGACTGCTCTCGAAGTCCGTGAACGAAATGACGGGCTCGTTCGAAACTGTCAAATTATAATAATAATAATATTTTGTTTGTTTTCTCCCAACATATACATCGTGTAGTCGAGGTACTATAACAGTCATTGGCAACAGGATGGGAGACAGGAGCTCAAACTAAGTTAGAACTGTACTGAGGCTCCTGGCCTCCCAACACCTACTAACATTACAAATACGAGGTTTTAATTGATGATCGATGACATAGGGATGACAAAAATAAAACATAAACAAAAAACAAAAAAGAAACAGCGTGTGCGTGCAAGCATGCGTGCGTATTTGTGTGTATGTGTTTCGAGTTAAAGCGTATTTAGGAGTTAGTTATATTATAAATGGTCTTGTGTTTCTCGTTTCAGATAATAAACCTATCCGAGAACCAAATAAAGATAATCGAAACCCAAGCCTTCACTGACCTCTATCAAGCTGTCGTAAACATATCCCACAATGCTCTGACCAAGATTGAAGCGAACTCCTTTGTGAACTGCAACAATATGACCGTTTTGGATTTGAGCCATAACAATTTGAAGAATATCACCAAAAACGCCTTCGACGAGAACAGTTACGCGTCTGAATTTATTGTCACTTACAATGAATTCGAGGATTTTGGTCAGGTAATTATTGCAAACAGATAGTGTACCATAATCGAGTATATAACCGGAAATAGAGACGAAATAAGGGCCATCCATCCGTGGCAACTCATCAGACAAATGGGCCTTATATCACTTTTAAATATCAAGTCTCGTTTGCGCTGAAATCACAAATTAGAAAACTGAAATAGAACGGCGCTAACAACTGACCTGTGTGTACGTCACTGTATATTCCAAAAATATTCTATATTTATTGTAATAAAGATAATATCTTTAACTGTTCCAATCAGTGGTGTGGGAAAAACAGAAAAACATCTAATTACAAAACAAATGAATCACATTCATCGGTAATTAAATATTAAATATGTAATATTCTAATTTTCGTCAATTACAGCAAATCCCAAGTTAAACTGGTCGATTTGAAGTGAAACAATTGACGACACCCGTCAATTGTTTCGAATTCGGGCTGGCCAATCGGAGCGCAGTTGTCACCGTAATGATTTGGCAGAATAGTTTTCAGACAACTTAAATGACATTTCGTCTCTATTTCTGGTTATATATTCGATGGGTAACAATTTTCAATATTTTAAGGGGAGGTATTTCAATGCGAGCCAAGATTTTAGGTGATGTGTGGGGTGTCGCCTTACACCTCACGCAATCCGCGCGCTGTAAATTTATATGAATAAAATAAGAACAAGCGGAAAAAATTGACACCGACCTGACGCCGACAAGCGTCCGATGGCGACTGAAGGGGCAGCGGGTGGCGCGGCCTGTCTTTAAACCGCTAGACAATTTGCAAGTTTTTAAATAAATGTGAATTTAATAATAGGGCTTCAGATGAAAACCAAAAATATTTGCAGTTTCTCTTTAGTACTTAAAGAGAAATATCTCTATATATTTTATTCTGAAATAATTCATTTAATTAGGTTATAATATTTTATATCACAGACTTTACTAATCAACTTTGTTTGTGAGATAGTTCTCTAAATATCCGCTAGATGGCATTGACCCTTTTTACTTAATTTTCCCTCGGATGGTGACTACTTGAACCGAATTTTATTTGTGTGAGAAACATCAGTACTATTGATTTGTATCTAGGAGTTGAGTCCTTGTGGGAATGACTGCCTGGACCTATTTGATAGTTACTTTAGTAACACCACTGTGCCGGTTACAATTAACTTGGCACCTTGTGTGAATACTTTTGGAAATAAAGCCTGACATTGGACTGGAAGTTTTTATTAGCACATTGTTTATACTATATCCTTAAGGGTTATCCTATATATTTTGTAAGATCGTTATTTAATAGTAAATACATAAACCATTAAGTTTGATCTAGCAAAACAGAATATTCTGTATAGTCTGTCTTTTAGACGAAGTAAAATGACATTTGTAGGGTTGCCAGTTTTCATAAAATTTAAAATAGTCATGTAGTTGTTATCGACAGTTTTATCGATAGATTGTGATAATGCCGAAAATGTCTAATTGTGAATGTTACGATGTTCCAAACTAATTGCGTTATTGCCTTCGTTATTCTTATTTTGACCTACTAGTATCGAGATAAATTTTTATTCACATACATTTTAACAATAATAGCTGGATTTGATTATCTACATATATTGAATTAAAATGAGAAACTTTAAAATATGTCTTCTCTTTGTATTTTTCATAAACATAGTTCGTAAATACAGTATATGTATGTTTGAACTTACAAAAATTGACAATTAAAATGAACTTGTGCTCAGTAATTGGACGAATAATGGGTCGAGAATGATTCAAATGAAATTGCTATTTATTCCATAAGCGTGACCAATATTCAGTCGATAGAATATTTATCTACTGCAATCACTAGCTGCTCGCAAGCGGGCAACACTTGTCGCGATGAATTGTCATTTTACTCCGTCTTTAAAAAATATAGATTATAATTAAGTAGTAAGTTGCCTCTTTTATAAATTGCTATAGTTACACGAATGTGTCCCTGTTCGATTTCAGATTCCAATTCAAAACATGACTGGCATCCGTATTTTGAATGCCTCTTACAACGTGATAACACACATACCTAAACTGGCTTTCCCCAAACTGTACGAACTTCACACAGTGGACATTTCTCACAATCAATTGTTGGAGATTTCTAATGCTGTCTTTCAGAATCTGTTCTCTTTACGGTAAGTATTTTTTTATTATCTGTGAGTATCGTATGACTAAAGCAGAATACAGTCACGGCGGCGTGGAAAGTCGATCTGCCTCATTCCTATATTGCTGTGCCCTGCAGGGTTCTATTATGTTTCTTTAAGTACCTATGCTTGATGTAGCGTCTGCACCTGTGCAGTTAGTAAATGAATAAATTAATAAAATGAAATGGATAAGAAATTGTTATTATCATCTAAATAATTTTTATCATCTAATTAAAATTGTTGTAACACATAAGTGTACAATTAATAATGTGTATAGTATATGTATGTATAATAATAAATATAATAATAAATTTTGAAGTTTTAAAATTGATGAGAAACTAAATGACATTATAAAATTCTAAATAACTTGACTATAAACTAATCTAATCGCGCAACCTACGCAACGTTGCTTCGAAGCCGTCAAGGCTCGCATCCGCGAACATCCCGGACGCACTACAGTGTCGCGGCAGCCGCAACAGAACCCTGAACGCGTCGTTGTACTGTACACGCATTGCATTGAGTGACATTGATTTGTGTGTACCTGCACCATAAACTACAGATGTACAGCGATGTGCAGTAAGCGTTAAATAATGTCAGTTTTACCTGTGCCGTACATCGACTGAACCTACGCGCTATCATATTAGCTCTCATTGCTAATGCTCTACGTTCCCTCTCAATATCTGCGTTATCACGCAGATCGTCTGTTATAACGTGACCAAGATATTTAAAGGAGGTCGCTCTATTCAGCTGTTGACCGTTAAGACGAATGGGGGGGACGTGTGATGGGCACTTACTTCCCGCCTTAAAAACCATATATTCACTTTTGAGCACATTATATTTAAGATTATGCTTCATGGCATACGATTCGCATATGTCTATAAGTACTCTTAAGCCACCGACAATGGGCTCAGCAACACCATGTCATCAGCGTAACTTATATTATTAAAACAAACTCTATCTATATGGCATCCGACATGCTATTTATATATATCTATAGAATAGAATAGAATAGAATCGTTTATTTCATGTTATCAATGTCACAATATTACAATTGGAAATACAATGTCAAGGGATAACTATGATCGTCAGTAATAAAATTATAATAATAATAATGAATATAAAATAAAGTAGTATAACTACTGCTTGTCGAATAAAATAAAATTAAAATTGTTTCAAAAGAAACTCATCGACACTGTACAATTCAATATCCAATAAAAGGTTTTTTAGTCGGGTACAAAACGTTGCATCGTTTCTAACACTTTTCAGGTCTGTGGGTAGATGTTCGTAGAATCGGGGACCTATTACCCGCGGATTTCTAGTTGCAAGTTCGGTACGGTGGGCAACGGATTTTAGTGTTCCCGCGTTTCGTAACGCTCGGCCTCCGCCCGTACGTCGCTCATAAGTAGCCAAGTTTTGACGCGCATAAACTATTATATCATAATATTTTTTTTATTTTTTTATTTTAATTATATATATTTCAGATTCCTAAATTTGAGCCACAATGCAATGGAAGCCATAAAACCTTCAACATTCGGCACCGTACCAACGGTATTAGAATTGGATTTGTCGCACAACAAATTGAGAGACGTTTCCAGAGGGTCTCTTGCTAAATTGGCGAGCTGTCGACTATTGGATATCAGTTATAATAATCTGGAGAAGATCTTTCAAATTCCTATTAGTTTAGGGTGAGTTATTTTTTTTTACGATACCAAATGACCTGGACAAATCGCCACATATTACATATCGATAAATTACCGATATAAATGTTTTGTGCGTTATTGTAACAATGGTACATAATACAAATACACATAATTTGTTGCACGCACTATACATCATACATTGATGTCGATAATTTATCACAACAAAAATTATGTACTTACATTACTAGCAGAGAACAAAAACGTAACGAAAAGTGGACACTCTCCGCCCCTCCCTAGGTTTAGATACAGTACCACGTTGCGCATTGACGGTCACATTGACTGAACGGCAACAAGGCCGCCGGCGAGCGGGTTCGCGCTAAGACGCTTTGATTCAATATAGTTTTAATTTAATCATTACGAAACTTGTACGTTAATATATATAACGGTTGCTGGTATGCTCTCGACGCGTTTACCTGTCGTATAACGTCCCGTGCTTTTGAACATTAGATTAAGTAACCGATTTTGTTTCATTAACATTTTTCTTAATTTCTAGTTGTGATGATTTCTGGTTTATATTTCTAACAACTATGTTAGTTGTCACCTGCGAGTTGTAATTTTTGCAGATGTAGCGTTATTAATTATGAATTAGTTTTGGTAATTTACCTTTTTAACCTCCGTTGTTATTGTTTTCAGGGAGTTAAATTTTGCACATAACAACTTGTCAGAGATCAAGTACAATACTTGGCCAACGATGAACGCCTTGTTGCGGCTCAATCTGTCTAACAACAATTTGGAGGACAGGTAGCGTTATAATTTATTTATTTGTGGGAAAACAGGTTGTACAAAAGTGTAACTGCATGTTACGTCTGCCCACCACAGTTATTTTGTTTGGGGCCCTAACTAGAGGCCACGCCCACCATTGACGCAGGGCGCTTGAAGTCGGTATGTGTAATAATTTTGCAGGTTGTTTCGATCTATGAAATTTGAAATAAATATTGTAAATGATAAATGTGTATAAATTTTTACTTATAGTCTATTCCAATCAATTTTAAACAAAAAGTAAACAAAACTGTTTTGTTAAAATTCGAAAGCAAAATCACTCAATAAATCGAATAACACTTTCACGCATATTTCGAAGATTTCGACTTGATATCTCAACAATATTCATTTGAATAGCGTCATAAAATCGTATTTGAAAAATGGTAGTCCAAAAGTGAGGTTATTTTTCAACTATACAACTATGACTTCTCTATGGTTGCATAGTGCTGTACCAAAAATTACATTCAGTTAATTTAATTAAAATTTTTGTAAATGTCAATCGCAATCGAACGAGTATCTAAATGTAAGGATTTCAAGGAGGATTTAAAGTTAAGATATCAGACATTTTAAATATTATTTTATAGGTTATGTAAGGACTAGCTAATATTCCTTTATAGGTTATGTAAGACTAATATGACTCAATTAAGCAAATTGATTCATTGAATTAATTAATCGATTTGTAGTTGGCACTACAATTCGTCATCACTATACCATTTATGGTCGGGTCAGTGACTTATTTGTTTAAAATGGATTGAAACGAAGTATAACAAAGAGCAACCCCTAAAGTTGCTTACTCATTCTCATGGGAATCTGCCTTACGAATGAATAGTAGAGTTTATTCAATGTGACCATTTCAATTTTAACTTGTTTCCCTATGAAATAAAGACGCAATTGAGTTATTATAATCTCTGTATTGAGTACTAAAAAACCGATCTCAAAAGTTTGTGGAATTACATCTATTTGCCAAGTTTTATTGGAATCGGTTACCGGAAAGTGCATGAAACCGGATTCATCCTTTAGTTTGCAACCCTTAGAGGGACTTCAAATTTATATGAAACCACTACTGAGGTACCCTCTTTCCAACAAAAAACGAATCATCAAAATCGGTTCACAAATGCCATACAAAAAAACAGTCGAATTGAGAACTTCCGCTTTTTTAAAGTCGGTTAAAATGATTTTTCAGATTGTCAAAAGACAGTTTCTCCGGTCTCCTGACCCTGCAATCCGTGGATCTATCGCAGAACGGTCTCACCAGACCGCCATGGGAAGCTCTCAACACGCTCACCAGCTTGCAGTATTTGTACATGCAGGTAGGTTTGTAGATGTCAACGCTGGGGATGACAGATAGGGGTTGAAATAATAATGAGGCCCATAGTATGTCTTTTTGAAGACGGAGTAAAATGACATTTGCAGGGTTGCCAGTTTTCATACAATTTTAAATGGTCACGTAATGTCGACAACAGTCGATAGTTTTATCGATAGATTGTGAAAGAGCCAAAAATGTCAAAATTGTGAATGTTACGACGATTTTTATTTTGAAATTTCGCCAACTGGTATCGAAAAAAGTGATCTGCGCTCCAAATACGAATCGTAAATGAGACTGGACGGATCCCCAAAGATAGAAAATGACCATGCAGCATGCCAAAGCGTCGATGGAGAGACCTAAAAGCACCTAAAAGTTTGGACCTCATTGGCGCAAAACAGATTGATGTGGAGAGAGGGGAGACAGGCTTTTGCCCAGCAGTGGGACAGTATAGCTTTAAAAAAAAAGTATCGAAATCAATTTTTATTCATATATTTTAAAACTGCCTCTGTGGCCGAACGGTTACCATGCCGGACTGCCATGCAGAGGTCCTGGGTTCGATTCCCAGGCCGGGAGAAATATGTGTATGGCCTACATTTATTTCTCTCGTGAGTTTGGGTGTAATTTGTGGTTGTCTATGTGTGTGTCCATGGCACCCGCGACACAGGGTTTCCCTAGTGCGGGGCTATGTTGAGTGTGTGCGTTATTATATTATTATTATTAATAAGAACTGACGGATTAGATTATCTCTATTAATTTTAAGTGAAAAACTGAAATATGTCTTCTTTTTTTATAGACCAAGGTCTATTGACAAGGTCTAAGAACCTTGTGCTCAGTAATTGAATTAATAATGGGCCAATGATGAAACAAGCTCGGCTATTTGTCGCATAAACGTGACCAGCATATTTATCGACTAATATTTATCGACTGCAATCACTAGCTGCTTGCAAGCAGGCAACACTTTTGCTCAATGAACTGTCATTTTATTCCATTTTCAAAAAAGACAGACTATAAAAATGTGCGCTGTGCCGCTGCCGATGTATTCGATTGTTTTTTCGTTACCTGCCAGACAGCCACGCCAATTAAATATGTTATTTGTTTGTATAATCCATTCCATCCATTCCATATAATCCATTTTAAATACTTTCTGAAAGGTCCCGATTCCCTATTGTTGTAATTGTTTTGTACAGTCAGCACAGGAGCACATCGAGCTCTAAATGATGGACCGTTTTTCATGGCAAGAGGCATAGAATTAAGTTTAAATATGTGTGAAACTCACGGAAAAGAAATGGAAGTGTAGTGTTTCATAATTTGAAACACTATGCAATCTTGATAATGAGTAGTCGTAATTTCAAATTTGAAAAGAAATAACAGAATCTAGACTTTTAATATAACTTAAACTTTACCATGTTGGCATCGTTGAAAGGCCAATACCATCAGTAACAATTATTGCAACTAACTACGTTTTGATTTTATATTGAAATTTCAATCAACGTGCTGGTATCTAGCGGTTAATGTATGATCGACGGCGAATGTTGCTTAGTTCTTCGAAACGAGCGAAAAAGAAGCGACTATAGCAATGCGGTGTGTTTACTTTCCGAGGTTTTGCGCGAGATAATTGACAAGACCATAACGTATAAATCGGAAAATGGCGGACTGACGGAGCTCATGTTTGCGGAACTCCGCGAACTGTTGGCGCACGTGGCACACAAACTAGGCACTTTCAAACTTAACGTGTTATTGATCCAGTCGTAACATTGTTATTATTTTACTATTGGATCTATAAAATATAAATATCTTTCTATTCCAGTACAATAATTTGACATCGCTCTCTAAATCCGCCTTCGGCAATCTCCCTACGATGTTCCACCTGGACCTGTCTCATAACCAGCTGTCCACTATTGAGCAGGGCTCTTTCAAGGGCATGCTGCAGCTGCTGGATCTCTCCTTGAGAGGCAATCGTTTGGAATATATACGTAATGAGGCTTTTAGTGGATTAGTTGCTTTAAGGTTAGTAATTCAAATATAATGTCTTCCTTTCAGTGTGTTAGGCAGGCAGAATGCACGGATCTAAATTTTTTTTTATTCCAAGTGACGGGACGAACAAATAGTGCGCCTGGTGGTAAGCGACACGCCTGTCCTTATGGACAGCAACTGTTATCAGTTGCAGTGCCATCTGAGGGGTACTGCCACTGCACCAGTCATCCTGACACATAAGTTGACAAATCTCATGTGCCTGTAATTTCTCCAGCTCCCTGACTCTTCAAAACCGGAACGCAGTAATGCTCACATTACTTGGGCGGCAGAAAAGGTGGCAGTACTTCCCTGGACGAGCTCTCTTACAAGAAGCTTTATTGATTTTTCTCGCGCACAGTCAATAAATGGAACTCCTTTCCAGAGCACATATTCCCTCCCTCTTAGGATAAGGGGTTCTTCAAACGAGGCGTGAAAAGGATCTTGGCCAGCCATCCTAGGGCGGAGATTGCATCAACATTGTACTGGTTTGCTTCACGTTTGGACGAAACTAAAGTTTGTTAGTCCATCCGTATGAAGCATGCGTCGTAAAAGGTGTATCATGTCATTATCCTTTGGTTTCTTTTATAGAAAATTGGACCTGTCATACAATCAATTGGAAAAGATAGACAATAAAACTCATGGCTTATTAGAAGACTGCCTTTCTTTGGAAATGGTGAGATAATAAACATGTCTTCTTTTTTCATGAATCAATTTTATAGGATTTCACTTCCGTTAACCGATTTCAGTGAAACTTGGAAAATAGATGTCGTACCATAATTTTTGGAGGTCGTTTTTTTTAATAAAAATGTTATTAAGTATAATTCACCATTACGCTATTCATTTATTTTTTGTGAAATTACTCCACTAATTTGTAATAATTGTTAAACAAAGATCGAACACTTAGAAAAAATCCACTTTGGTCCGGCTGGATTCGAACCAACGTCTTCCAGCGAACCGTGCCAGACGTTATGCCAACTAAGTCACGGAACGAATCAACGCACCTCACGAATTCTTCCGTGTGTTTGTGGCTGATCTTTGTTTTTGTTTTTTTTATCGACTTTGGCGTAGCGCCATCTGTGAGAAATCTATGAAAGTTTTTCTTCACTTAGGTACCTTTGCAGCTACCAGCTGGATATGTCACTTTTAATAATTGTAATTAAGTTTTATTGCGTGTTTATCGCTCAGGCTATGCCAACTAAATCTTATTATTATTTTAATTTCCAGGTAAACCTTAGTCACAATAACTTCGGTTTTCTGACCAAGAAGATGTTCCCATACAGCCAATGGTACCCATACAAGGTGTCTGAAGTGGATCTAAGCTACAACGCTATACCAGTGATCACGTTTGACATAACCATAGGAGGAAAGAGCTTCAAGAAGCTGAATCTCGCTGGGAATATTATTAATGATATTAGAAACAGTAAGTTGTTCTTTTTATATATTATTACAAAGGATCTTTAATTCAAGAGCTCTTAATCTTCATATTACAGAGACTCCGGCTGCCATGAACCGATAAGTTGTCGTCACGATGTAGTGGGAACAGCTAGGTCTTGTCTAGTAAAAATACGCAGTTTTAAAATATATTTATTAATAAACCAGATGCTATATAAATGACGCTAACAATTTTTTTCTTCATCGTGTAAAGTTGTCAAAATAATATAAATTAACACCGATTGTCGATATACAAATGGTGTCTCCGACCCCGTACCGTTCTAAGCGACGCGGCCGCGGACGCTCCTGGCCAATCAGAGCGCGTGTCTCGCGTATAATATATATATTTAATGTTATGTTCGTAATCTAGCTGCAATAGTCCGGTTTATATTATCTTTCTCTATCTTGGGAATAGTGTTAATGAATTTCTAAAGATCTGATGAGGAAAATAAGTCAGGTGTAAAAGTAAATGATTGTCACTAATATCAGGTTTTTTACCACGGTATGACTTCTTTTTATTTTCCCGATATTTCGGAACGATTGCACGCTCCATGGTCACGGGTTGAAGGTCAACAAGACAGAAACAAGAAACCTGATATTAGTGATAATCATTTAGTGAATAACCACGAAAGTCTTAAAATCTATATAGGTGTAAAGTAGTTTAAAATTACATGAAGCTAATGGGAATAAATATGACATGTTAAGGTTACAGTTGTTCCACGTGGAACAGAGTACGTGGGACTACTGGGAATAAACGATCTCCATAACTATGCATATATTTTAGTAGCAGTAGACCTCCTTGTGAAAAAGTTCGTCCAGGGAACTACTGCTTATTTCTGCCGCTAAGCAGTAATGTCAGCATTACTGTGTTCCGGTTTTGAAGGGTAAGGGTGCTAGTGAAATTACAGGCACATGGGACTTGTCAACTTATGTCTCAGTGTGATGGGCGCAGTGGTAGTGCCTTTGCTACTTTAAACTCCTAATGGCACTGCAACTGCTATGGACAGACGTGTCGCTTAACACCAGGCGCACGACTTGTTCGCCTCGTCACTTGATATTATAAAAAAAAATAATTTTGGTGTTATTTCAGACGTTCTTGGAAATCTGACATCGTTGGAAGTCTTGGATCTATCAAAAAATAGATTAACCAGCTTAATATCCTCAACTTGTACGTATTTTACGATTTATTCCTCTTTTGGTCGACTAGAAACTCTGGAACACTCCATTCTTATGGCGTTGTCCCACCACCCATTCGTAGTTTATTTTTTCCTTCCTAATACCTACGCCAAAGGATTGGAATACATTGTTAGCTTCTATAGTTTCTGAATGTGTTTTCAAGTGTAAATTTGCTTATTTAAGAGTTTATACAACCTCAAATGGCTTTGGTTGATTTCGCATAACAGTCAAAGCGTTGAATCAAACACTTTAAAAAAAAAAGTCAAATTGAGGATATATATTGATTAATATACGGTGTGTAAGCGCAATTAATAAAAATTTTCACGACAGAAAAAAATATATAATATATACACATACTTACCTCGAAAGGAGTTGTTCCTTTAGTGGTACTAAAATAAATGGAAAATTTAACCAGGCTATTAGTTGGTTTTTTGTAAAGAGAAGTCAGAATTAAAAACAAATTATTTTTGACCTGCAATTTCCAGAACATCGTTAGGGATTTTCAATACTATGTAAAGTAAAACGGAACGCAATGCCACGAAACAGAATGGGTTTTTATGTAATTTATTGGCTAATATGCCAGTGGCCAATGCCATAAAAAATATTGACACATTAGACGTCGAAGTCACTTTTGTTGCAATTTAATTAGCCAATTAGAATTATGATTTTGAATATTTTAGCGTTTAAGTGTTGCTGCTTTTTGGACTGTTTTTAGTATCGCAGTGTTGCTAGAGTTAATTTAACATATTTACCACACTTATGTTTTAAATAAACAAATAAAAAATGCAAGTCACAATTTTTTTAAATTATTTTGCTAAGCTTTTTATTTCAAACTTTCAGCCGTGGGGCGACGGCTTAAGAATACATTGTCGCCTCCCCATACATGCCCGTGGGGGTCGTAAGAGGCGACCGAGGGCGTCACAAGTGTCCATCTGCTTAGCATTGTGGTAGGCTCTGTGCCGACTGGATAGCGACCACAGTACACACGGCGGAAAACCCTCCACAGTGAAACGCTTTTGCGAATCGCGTTCAGGGATCAGTTGGTGTACATCCAGTGCATTGGCCAGACCGGCAAAATGATAGTGACGGAGTGAAGATATTTGTGTTTTCCATCCGTTACTCTCATCTCTGGACTGTATTCGCACTTTCCATCAGGCGCGGTGCAGTCATTTTGTCGAGTCGCAATAAAAAAAAAAAAAAAAAAAA